CACCTGTGCTCCACCTGTATCTCTGTATGAAACTATGGCTGATTGTCAAACTGTATTCTAAGTGAGTTTAAAGGGCTGGTGCAGTACACGGTTGAATGAAGGTGAAATGAAGGTGAACATAATTTCAGTCAATATTGTTTGAGTATTATTGCATCACAACAGAAACATTTGGTGTTCAGTTGTTGAAGGGTGCAGACAGTTAAATTGAGCACACACTGAAGACATGAACAACAGAAAAACCTAGTCACGCAACTGTGGGTGCATCAGACCCTGTCCCCCACGGGGCGTCCCCACCAACTTTCAGCACAAAGTTACGCCCTTGGAGTTCTCTGAGTCAGCTTCAGGTGCTTGTATTTAATCACAATATCTTCTAAATTTAACCACGTGTTTCAATTCCTTTAAATTACACAATAATTTTACTGGAGAAACTAGTCAGTATGGTTTAAAAAACAGTATTTTTTTTTCCTGTGCGAGAACTTCCTCTGCTATGAGTTTTTCAAATAAATATATCAAAGCTCCTCAGTTGAAACACTAAAATGATAGAAAAGATGTTTAAAAACCTATTTCCTCAGAAAGTCTTCAGTCCTAAGAACACTAAATTGTAACTTTTAATAAGGTCATGTACACAAAATACTCCTATTTAAATAAAAATGTTTGACTTGTAAGCAGAAAGCTTATGGATGTTGATTTTTGGTCTCTATTTCAAAGGATGAGGAGGAGAACGAGGAAGTTCTCCTCAAGCAGCTCCTAAAACTGTCAACCTGCTGACTGAGAACATTTGTGTATTGTAAACTTTGTATACATACCAATATACTTATTAAATTACATTTCAATTTTCATTTAACATCACAAACAGTGAGCTGAGACACGCTGCACACTCAACAATCAGAAGTGAGGTAGGAGTTTATTCAATTCTAAAACTTTTTTATTTTACAAAAGGATAACTTCAATAACGTGAGATTCTGTTGCACTTTTTTTGGTAAATACTTTTAAATACATTGCAAAAAGAGTTTAAATGTTTTAGTGAACCACAGCTATTTGTTATTTTTGTGAAAATGAATCAACAGCTAGCTATTTATTAGCTAAATTATTTGTCACTTTTTAGGTTAATAAAAAAAAATTTGTGACAATAATCGAGATTGGACGATATGAAAAAATATTGTTATCATTTTTTTGTGCAATATTGCCCAGCCCTAAGTAATCACCCACCCATTCAAATCAGGTGTGCTGGAGCTGAAAAACATCTAAAACATGCAGGATAGTGACCCATGAAAGACCCCCAGAAAGGGCACTCCCATCCAACTTAACAGCCAGTCACCAGCCTCTGTGCAACATTATAAAATGTGTCACAAAAGTTAACCAGTGGCTGTAGGACAACTTGTTACTTTTTAAACCTCAGTAAGACATTGATCCTGGCCCCTGAAAATAAAATCCCTAACATAAAAGAACATCCCGGCTCTTTGAGTTCAACTGTTCAGCAGAATGTGAACGACCTGGGAGTAAATCTTGACTCAGATCACTAGATAAACACATAAAGAACCTGGTTTCCACTTGCTATTTTCAGCTCCGTAATATCTCAAAACTCCGGCCCCTGCTGTCCACTTCAGACTTGGAAATGGTAATTCATGCCTTCATTTCTACCTGCTTAGACTATTGTGATAGCTTGTTCACCTGTCTTAACCAGAAACAGTCAAATCACCTTCAGCTTGTCCAAAACTCGGCAGCAAGACTCCTAACCTGAACCTCCAAATTCACCCACATCTCCCCGATCATAGCAGAACTTCACTGGCTTCCGGTTCAATTTAGAATCCGGTTTAAAATCCTGGTCCTCACCTTCAGAGCTCTTCATGGTCAAGCCCCAGAATACATTAAAAGTCTCATTTCCCCTTGCAACCCCAGACGGGACCTCCGCTCACAGGATCAACATCTCCTTATGGTCCCCCTCACTCGCTTTAAGACCAGTGGTGACAGTGCCTTCTCCTCTGTGGCCCCCAGGCTCTGGAATGAACTCCCTTTTAATCTGCGCTCCATTGATAACATTGGGCCTCATGCAAGAACCGTTCGTACGCACAGATTTGTTCTTAAGTTGTGCGTACGAGAGGAGAATTTGTGGCATTCACCAATGTTTTCGTATTCTAAGATTTTTTTTCAGATACGAACAAAATTTACGAGAGGTCCAGACCTGTCGTATATTTTACCAGCAGTCAGTCTGCTGTTATCCAGACGGGTTTTCTTCACTAATAACTTTATATTTAGTTAGTTTGAAGATATTTTGAGTTGAAAATAAATCACACTCCATAATTATGTTGACAATAGGCTATTCTGCTTGAATTAGAGTTATAATTTTAAATGAAATAATTTAGACTAACAATATAAATTGTCCGTCCGGCCGGCTTACCCACTATCGGGTGCGTGGGCAGCAGGAGAAAGACCCCGCGCTCTCCCCAGCGACACTTTCCAGCTCGTCCTGGGGGACTCCAAGACGTTCCCAGGCCAGAGGGGATACATAATCCCTCCAGCGAGTCCTGGGTTTTCTCCAAAGTGCCAGACTTATTTTGAAAACATTTTAAAATGCTTATTCCAAACCCGCATCTAAGACCACCTGCGACCGCGCGGGGGRRGGGGGGGGGGGGGGGGGTTGTTGCGCAGCGCTGCGGCTTCTGAATAAATGAAAATGATTTAACACAGTTGTTTATACTTTTAGCAGCTCTTTTTTATCCCACAGCTGACCTGCTAAAAATGACAGATTTTCTTTTCTGGATCTCTGACAGACGGACTTCAATCTCTGAACTCGTAAAGTTCTTTTTAATGATCGCTGTCATTTTCATGAATGAACACTTCCTTGTATCTGAGGCAGGAAACATAGCCTTATATGGTGTTTTTGGGGTGGTAATTATGCTAATCTCTTCTCGCGTGCACGAGCAGCTGGATAGGACAGGTGGAATTTACGCAGCTCATTTACGCACTTTTCCTGAAGATAGAAGAGTTTGTTGAATCTGACGTGACATGTTCGTACGAACCCTTTGTACGAACAAAAGTAAGAGAAACTTAGGATAAGAATACGAACATGTTCTTGCATGAGGCCCATTGTCTATTTCAAGACACTCCTAAAAGCTCACTTTTTCTCTCAAGCGTTTAGCTAACCATTTCACCATTACCACCAGCCTACCTCCACTGTGAATGCTTCGCTAATCTGTGTTTTCATTACTATTGAACTTATGACATATTTTCTCTCCCACATTCATTATTTTTGTGTATTACTGTATACTTTGACCTGCATTGACCTTGTTTGATTTACAATTTTAGAAATTAATTCCTGATTTGATGTTTCAATTTTCGTTGCTTATGTGTAATTATGTTTTTCTGTTTCATTTTATTCTTTTCACCATTTTTATATTGTTAATGGTTGTACAGCACCTTATGAATATATTTCTGTGAAAGGCGCTTTATAAATAAAACTTTACTTACTTATTTACTTACCAATCTGCACAGCCGCCCCATAAGAGTAGGAAAAGGTTAATTAAAGAACTGTGTTGCACGAAGGAATTTGGCCTTGAATGGATTTCAAAATAACTACTGGAAAAAAATAAACTGAAAGTGTAGGTATTGTTCTCTACGTTACTGAAATTATATTTTTGTACGAATAAATATATATTGTCACGCTGTGACACGTTGTCAGTGTCCTGATGCATCTCAGTAATCCAGGTAAAAAAAAAATCAAAAAGAAAAAAATTGTATCGGTCTTCTGGACGGGTTCTTCTTTAATGAAACGTTTCGTCTCTCCTCCAAGAGACTTCTTCAGTCTGAGAGTTTCATGCTGTCAGTGTCAGGATGTCAGTGTCCTGTATGTTGTGTATGTCCTGGCCTGGGTGCTACTGCTCTGCCATTATTCCTCTCCATCCCACCTCTAGATGGAGTTCTCTCTAAAGTTGATTCTAAACCCCTTTAAACAGATTCTGATTTTTTTTGTTTTAGCGTTTGTCGTTTAATCATTGCAACGTCAGCTGTGATAAACATATATTGTTGCCTGTTACTTTGTAGCTGATGCACCTGAATTGCCCCAATTGAACAACAAATAAAAGCTATTTCTGTTCTTTTCCTGGGTTTCTCTGTCATCAGCTTCATTTAAACCAGGTGTGGGCATCTAGGCCAATGAGTGGCTGCTGGATTTACAATGAATGTATGCCACTTATTTATTTATTTATTTATTGCTGTCTAATCAGTTCTGTGTGATACTTTTGTGCTTTCAATACATATATAACTCATCATCTATATATATTTACCTACATATTTTTCCCCTTTAGATTATTGCCTATTGGAATATTACGTGAATAATATTGTTTTCTACATTAATTTTATTTTTTTTAAAAATTGACCCTTTTTTAACGTGTACATCAAATTTGGTTGTTTTAATGCACAAAGCTATTATGGCCCGCAATGGCTGAGTCCTTCAGAAACGGTGCAGAACATAAAAAAAATATGTCTGAACTAATAAACACTTTAAGACTCTACTTTAATCGTGTTTCAGATTAAAAAACACACCTCCGGCCTACCTGTACGGACGTGAATGACGTTTTAAACCGAAGGTAAAAACGTAACATGAGCGCTCGTTGCTGCTGGGGTGTAAATGTGCCACATTTAATCCCGAAGCCAGGCGTAAGAAGCACGTATTTTTGTCACCATTACCCATTTGCAGAGGCCTGCTCGCTAACAGGAGAGTGTGCTATAATGTGGAGGAGGGATATGAAATATCTGGGCCACAGGCTGCGGGCTCCTGTCAGAGCCCTGGGGTATTGTACAGAAACCGCGACGCGGGGCCAAATGTGGCGAAAAAAGCGTTTCCTCCTCCCGAAAACTCGACGTTATCGACGGATAGTTCAAAGCAAATCGCTCGCTGCGGACAACAACCTGTCAAGACGCCACATTATTCGACAAAAGGCCCGACAACTGGTGTGTTTACCAGTCGGCGGAGGCTGAAAATAGGAGTCGCTGCTGCTTACCATCTTGCAGGTCGGATGATGAAATCCAGGCAACGAGAACGGAAAAGAGGTACAGGAAGAGTCAGCAGGCCGCCGAGCTTGAGGCGAAAGTACAGGAAAAACAAGGTGGAGGTGCCTCTCTGAGGTCTGGTCCTGGATTTATAATCAGCTTCAGAGCCTCTTCGCCGTCTCTCCCCGTTAACGAGGCTTCCACTGCAGTGGTAAGAGAGTGAGAGCCGCTGGGAGGGGACAGTAAGCGGAGGAGGAGGCTCGCTTTGACAAGCGGGTGGTGGCGGAGGGGGGGGAGGTGCAGCACTACTGTACATCCGGGTACTTCTTCTTCTTTTTCTCTTAATTTAAAAAGCTCACAGAGAAAGCAGTTTTGTGCACGAGCTCCCCCTAGCGAACATTGTTAATACTGCTGGAGGACAAATTCTCATATCTCAGACAGCCACACTTGAAACAGAGTTTGAAACAAAAGAACATGCACATTCTTGTACTAACCTAGATATAGATTTATTGTACAAACTAATTTTATCATGTTACAAATAAATTTTTTAGATGTAATTAAATTTTTGATACTAACTTGTTATATGAGTATTGTTGTGCACAAACATGACCAGGCTCTCCCTATTTGATCACCCCACCCTGCACCACCACCAACTTTTTTAAGTAACATTTGAATTGTGCACATTTTCACTCATATCTTCTGAAACAGGGCTCAAAAACTGTTTTAGCTATTCTAAATTTACAATAAAAATTCTCCTTGACATGGCTGTTTTTGACTTTTTACACATTTATACTCTTCCTTTCTTCAAGTATCATCAGGCATATACTGTATATATATATATATATATATATATATATATATATATACAGTGGTTTGCAAAAGTATTCATACCCCTTGAACTTTTCCATATTTTGTCACATTACAACCACAAACATAAATATATTTCACTGGAATTTAATGTGAAAGACCAACACAAAGTGGTATACAATTGTGAAGTGGAAGCAAAATTTTACATGAATCAAAAACATTTTTTACAGATAAAAAACTGAAAAGTGCGATGTGCAAAAGTATTCAGCCCCCTTTTCCCTGAGTGCAACCAATTGCATTCAGAAGTTGCCTGATGACTGCTAATGACTCAAAAGGGTCCACCTGTGTGTAATCTAATCTCAGTACAAATACAGCTGCTCCGTGACGGCCTCAGATGTTGGTTAAGAGAATATTGGGGAGCAAACAGCATCATGAAGTCCAAAGAACACACCAGACAGGTTAGGAATATGGTTTTGGAGAAGTTTAAAGCAGGCTTAGGTTATAAAAAGATTTCCCAAGCTTTGAACATCTCACGGAGCACTGTTCAATCCATCATCCGGAAATGGAAAGAGTATGGCACCACAGTAAACCTGCCAAGACAAGGCCGTCCACCTAAACTTACAGGCCGAACAAGGAGATCACTGATCAGAGAGGCAGCCAAGAGGCCCATGGTGACTCTGGATGAAATGCAGAGAGCCACAGCTCAGGTGGGGGAAACTGTCCACAGGACAACAATTAGTCGTGCACTACACAAATGTGGTCTTTATGGAAGAGTGGCAAGGAGAAAGCCATTGTTAAAAGAAAACCATAAGAAGTCCCGTTTGCAGTTTGCCAGAAGCCATGTTGAGGACACAGCAAACATGTGGAAGAAGGTGCTTTGGTCAGACGAGACCAAAATTGAACTTTTTGGCCACAATGCAAAACGCTATGTGTGGCGGAGAAAGAACACTGCACATCACTCTGAAAACACCATCCCCACTGTCAAATATGGTGGTGGCAGCATCATGCTCTGGGGGTGCTTCTCTTCAGCAGGGACCGGGAAGTTGGTCAAAGTTGATGGGAAGATGGATGGAGCCAAATACAGGGCAATCTTGGAAGAAAACCTGTTGGAGTCAGCAAAAGATTTGAGACTGGGGCGGAGGTTCACCTTCCAGCAGGACAACGACCCTAAACATAAAGCCAAAGCTACAATGGAGTGGTTTAAAAAAAAGAATATTCATGTGTTAGAATGGCCCAGTCAAAGTCCAGACCTAAACCCAATTGAGAATTTGTGGCAAGATCTCAAAACTGCTGTTCACAAACGCTCTCCATCCAATCTGACTGAGCTTGAGCTGTTTTGCAAGGAGGAATGGGCAAGAATTGCAGTCACTAGATGTGCAAAGCTGGTGGAGACATACCCTAAAAGACTTGCAGCTGTAATTGCAGCAAAAGGTGGCTCCACAAAGTATTGACTCAGGGGGGCTGAATAATTTTGCACATCGCACTTTTCAGTTTTTTATTTGTAAAAAATGTTTTGATTCATGTAAAATTTTGCTTCCACTTCACAATTGTATACCACTTTGTGTTGGTCTTTCACATTAAATTCCAGTGAAATATATTTATGTTTGTGGTTGTAATGTGACAAAATATGGAAAAGTTCAAGGGGTATGAATACTTTTGCAAACCACTGTATATATATACTCCTGATCAAAATCTTAAGACCAGTCAAAAAAGTGCAAGAATTTGTCTGTATATCACTTCACTCTATATGTAGTGAAGCTTCGATGACCAGGGCTCCTTGTACTGCCTTGTGGTTTGTTTACATCATCAGACACATGTGTGATCTGTCTAGAGTTGCTGTATTTCAGTTCAGACAGGAGTGCTTTGTTTGTGTCTCACTTTTGCCATGTGCTTATCATTGTGGAACCCATGTGAACCAAAGAGCAAAATGTGTTTTAGTAGATGAAAATAGGTCTGCTAGTTGTGTCTGTCTGGGTGAAACGTGATTAGCATGGCCATTTTAATAAATAAATAGGTTCAGGGAACTGAGCACATGGTTCAGACAACAGGGTTTAGTGTTTTAGCAACTGAGAATAACCGTAATATAAAGGATCAGATGGTTCATTGTTTTTTCTCGTCAGTATTTTTTCTTATACCCTTTAACAATTAAATTGAACTTGAAATGACTAATTTTTATTACCAGTTATTGGTTGCAAGATTACTTATTGTAGAAGAAAATTGTTAAAGATTATTCTGAATGTCAGCCATCTTGCTTTGAGTAATCTGTGGTGCACCTAAACTGACTGACCAGCAGATGACAGTGTACAGGATGACTGAAGGCATTATTGTGCATCTACGGTTTAACAGAAATATCTAGCTGTCTAGACATCATTATGAGGAGAACCATCATTAAAAAAACATTTTACTGAAATATGAACTATGCTTTTTTGTTATTTGTTAAACCTGAATAAAACGGGGTAGTCAGTGGGTCCACGGTCTCACCTACCCAGCCAGTAGTTGCCTAATTGGTCTGTGAGAAAAATATCTCATTTGGTAGATCATAATGAACTCTCTTAAAGTATATACTGATGTACAGCTGATTAACTTAGCTGCTCACCGGCTGTACTCAGAGAGGTGACTTCTGAGTACAACTGGTTCACCACTGGAGCCAACCAGATTCAACATGGCCGGCCGACACGACATAGGAAACAAAAAACTGCCACTAACTTAGTCGATTCTAACAATAGTTTGGTGTGGTAGTAGTAGAGTCGTTCACCACACAGACTATGAGCTAATGGGGATCAAAGGCATGCCAGATGCAGTCTTCAGTGAGCTGAGTTATGACTGGGTAGACCTCAGGTCAGCTATGGAACAACAGGTTGAAACAGAAGTTTTCTAATAGCCTACATGTTAACAACCTAATAAAACTCTGGAAATTCTCTCTTGGCTTTCAGTTTTGGGACCACCCTGACATTAATAATGGTCTTCATCTGTCCCAACTTTAAAAACTAAATATTTGGAGGCATTCCTGTTTCCACATGTTTTTTTCTCTCCCCGTTTCCCTTGTTTATTTATTCATTCATTCAAGTCAGGACATGGCCAAACAGGGTCACCTTATGCTTTGTAAGATTCTGACAATTTGACTTTCATTTTTTCTCCAGGACACGTTGTGCTTTAGTCAGCTGCAGTTATATTGTTGTGTTCTTAACTTTTCAAATGCCTTTATATTTTTTTAAAATAGCATTAAGACAAAGTTTAATAAGCTGTATACTTTGTTTTCTGTAAAGAGCTTTAACGAGTCTGGTTTTAGAGTCTGACAGCTTCTTCTGTTGTGCCACAACTTTTTACAAATTATTTTATGAGTTCACTTTTTCACAACAATATCTATTTTTAAAAAGTTTATATTTTCTAGCAGGCACTTTTATTTTCTACGGTAATTAAAAGCACAATAATTCAACAAGAATGGGTTCAATCCCCAGTTCAGACCTGGGGTCTTTCTGTGTGCAGTTTGCATGTTCTCCTCGTGCTTGTGTGGGTTTTCTCCAGGTTCGCCGGTTTCCCCCACAGATCAAAAATATGTCCAATAGGTTGCCTTCAGGCCCAGGCCTCCCTTGAAAAAGATATCTGTGGGATTTACCTAGTTGAAACAAAAATAAAATAAAATAAAATAAATAACCTGCATGAGAAGTCAGTTCTAACATAAAAGAAAAAAAAACTCTAAAAATCCTTTACAGTTAAATTACAAAACCTGCATTCATACTATGCAAACACAAAAAATAGTCAGGAAGCAGAAATATCAAATGTAATCTGGACAAAACACAAAAGTAGATTTATTTTTTGTTAACATATTACACATCACTTTGACAAAAGGTAAGACTTTCATCATTAATTAAATATATATTTCAATGTCACTGTGTTGCTTTGATGTGTTGCATAGATCAAGTTAATTTATTTAATTAAAGATAACAATTCTTTTCTAACAAAATACACACAAACTTAATGATTTTTCTGTACAAAAACACTTTGTTATATAACTAATAATAATTATACACAAAAACATGTCGACATTGCATGTATCAGTTTAGGTTCCGAATATCGAACAAATAAAATTTTTTTCAATAAACACCAAGATTTAGGTTTTTAGAGGTAGAGAAGGCAAACACATTGTAGACAAATACACAACTGTACCCACAAACAATACCAAATCTTCACACCTGCAGTGAACAAATCACACTGATCAGTTCATGCTTCACATTTTACAGTTTCACAGCATACTTTTATACTATTACACACAGAACACACATCTGTACAAGCACCATCTGTAAAATACACACACATAATGAAAACATGGGTGTACATACAGTAGACAACTGCAGTACAATGTACGCACAATTCATCAAATTCAAGGAAAACCAGACTGAGAACAGGAAAAATACATTTACAGAGCCCCTTGACTGTTTTATTGCTATTATAAACGAGTCTTAATCAATATAAATGGGTCTTTTAAAAAACCTCATTAAATTCCAAAAACATGAACTCTTGCATTGCATGTGTTTTTGTCCACACATGTGGCATCGGCTCCTTGGAGGTTAAAGTCAAATCAAATTTAATACTAGTTGGATACAAGTACATAAAGTTTCACCACCTAGAAAGTGACCTGACTCAGCTCAAAGAGGTGCTGAACCTCTCCAGGATTTCTGTTCAATCCATCATCAAGAAATGGAAGAAATATGGGACGTGTAGATCTACCGGTTTAGCAGACATGTGAAAGAGTGCAAACCCATTGACGTATACCCCAGATCTCTTTGTCCCGTCAGACAAACATCTCCTTGTTGATCCACATGAGTGTGCGCGTGTCGTTGGGTTTACATTCATACTCAATGCTGTTGAAGCTGTTGCCCCACTGGCAGTGGTCCCTCTTGTTGTAGTTGTAGAACTTCACCTGCCACACAGTTTCAAACGAGCCCACCTCTGTGAACTACAGCAGAAACACAAAGGCCTGTGAGTGTCCACAGGCTGAAACTCCATTTTCTGCTAAATAATCTGAAGGTTAGATGAAGAGGAGGCATATCAGCAGGACAGATGGCTACATGCACACTGTCCCAGCCCACAGACGGCAGGGTTTGACTGCACAGATGGACCACAGTCACACAGATGCTCACACTCTTAAAGGCCTAACATTCTTAAATGAATACTTATCGCCTGCCAGCATTTAAGCCAAGATCATATGAAGAGAGATGAAACCTTTTGTTCAAACCATGAAAATATCAATAGGCCACACAAGTTGATGTTGAAGTTATTGTCTGTTGGGAATAACTTTGTACATCCTTCTTTTACCAAAATATGTCATAAAATGTTAGATAAATTTTAATGAAACTTTCAGCAAATAATTACTGAATCTTGTGATTAAACTTTGGAGTCAATCCAATTCATGATGGCTGCCACAGCGAACTGACCATAAAACACAGAAATTGTGATAAATAAGTCAGTTTTCCAGATATTGTTCTTACATTTAGTGTGGTAGTAGCTGAGACTGATCCTCATCACATATATTGAGCACTAACACAAGATCTTTGTTGAAACCTTTTGCCATCAACAATGGTCAGCTCTGATTGTTACCAAAATACAGTGGGGTGCAAAAGTTTGGGCAGCCTTGTTAATTTTCCTGATTTACCTTTATAAATCATTGATTGTCTGGATTAAAAAAAATCAGTTAAAAATATCATATAGGGGACAAACACAGTGATATTTGAGAAGCAAAATGAAGTTGATATAATTTATAGAAAGTGTGCAATAATTGGTTAAACAAAATTAGGCAGGTGCATAAATTTGGGCACTAAAATACTCCCTTAATTCAATATTTAGTAGGTCCTCCTTTTGCAGAAATAACAGCCTCTAAACGCTTCCTATAGCTTCTAATGAGAGTCTGGATTGTGTCTGAAGGTATTTTACACCACTCTTCTTTACAAAACATCTCTACTTCATTCAGGTTTGATGGTTTCCAACCACAGACAGCTCTCTTTAAGTGACACCACAGATTTTCAATAATATTCAGGTCTGGGGACTGAGATGGCCATTCCAGAACGTTTTACTTGTTCCTCTGCATGAATGCCTTTAGTAGATTTTGAGCAGTGTTTAGGGTCGTTGTCTTGTTGGAAGATCCAGCCCCGATGCAGCTTTAGCTTTGTCACTGATTCCTGG